CTCATTCTGCATGCAAGTCATTTAGTCTCAGTTTCTGAAAGAAGTTTGACTTTTTAAATTAGGGGCAGCACTTGCACCCATTGTTCCCATGGTTGGGAACAGAACACCTAATGCAGAAGAAATGCCTGGTCAAGCACAGGTTCCAATGGGAGTAAATGTGACCGCAACAGCTATTCCGATAAGACCGGCCATAATTTCAGTATCCAGTGCTCCACAACCTGGTGCTGGGGGTTCACAGGCTACTGATCCCAGTCCTTTAAACTCAGTTGTATCTGGACTCAATGCTTATCTTAGAAACATAGTTCCCAACAGGCAGAATGAAAACCAGGCACCATCAGGTATGTGATTTGCTGAAAATTGAATTTTTAACGTCCCGTGTTATGTATGTTACATTGAGGGGCTTTTGTTTTATTTTGGTGAATCAGGAGGCTCAGCTAATCAGGAGCAACGCCCAGTTTCTGGTGATAGTGACAAGGAGACAAGCAATCCACAGAGGAACATGTCAAGTAGCACAGTTGGTGAGACAAGTCGGACTGCAGTCACAGATAAACAGGTGGAAGAGGTTGAATATTAGATATAATTTTCTTTTGATAGTAAAAGTTGCAGCGGTTGTTTGTTCTAATCTGAAAAAATTGACTTCCAGCAAAAAACTGATTCGTCTGCCAGTCCTGATGGAGGTTCTCATAGGTCTGGGAATGGTGAAAGCTCTGCGGGACCATCGGGATTCAGTCAGGGTGATAATACTCAAGGTGGGTCTTCAGGTGTCCCTCTTGGACTTGGACCGGGAGGCCTTCAATTTAAGGTAAAATATTGGCTTATATATTTCTAGATTTTCGTAATTATGCTCTCTGTGTGTGTGTGTGTCTGCCTGTCTCTCTGTTTCTTTGTATTTGACTCAAATTATAAATTAGTCAGATCTACCTCATATTTCTGTTGTGAAATCTATCATAGTGTTTGTTTACAAAATATCTCATTCACATTTAATCCATGTTCAAAATCTAACCCAACTTTAACTCAACCCCACTATTCTTAATATTATTCATATAATTAATAATACAAACCAATCATTCTTACACATTATATCAACTTTAATTCACCATTCATCCACTCACATAATTTTAACTAACCATAACTTCACATCATCAATCTCATATTTTAAATATTATTTTAATATAAACTCAAAATCCCACTAACAACTAAACATACCACCTTTTTTTTTTTCAAAATTAAACCCTAGTTAACCAAAATTACTCATTTTGAGCGGATTAATTTCTAAACAAGCACGCCCTAAGGTTTTCCCCGGCCTTATTTTGTAGTATCTTATTTCTTATTTTAACAGCAAATTCTGCACACGTGAAAATTCTTCTGGTTCTGGCTCTGGCTCTTTTCCTAATGACTATGATTGAAATTTTTGCATGAAAATTGCACTGTATTGTATCTCAGGTTCGATGCATCCCAATAATTTTTTCTCCAAATCTACTCAACTATTGTTGTCACCCGTGTAATTAATAATTTTGTATTATGTTTACATAGAAACGAGGTAAAAGTCAAACAAAGACCACAGACCGTGCCTCTTCCAGCAGAGCCGTGGGTCAACAAGTCCTACAGTCCCTTGCTTCACTTTCCACCAAGGAAAATCCCAACCCTCCACCTTCAGGACTACCTTCTGACCCTGTCAGGAGCAGCAACCTAAATTTGGCCACCTCCAGGCAAAATACGACTGACAATATTGATTTAGCAGATACAATGTCTCAGGTCCTCAACAGTTCCTCTCTGGACGGCTTATTGAGCGGTGTCTCGCAGCAAACCGGGGTTGGTTCTCCTGATATGTTGAGAAATATGCTGCAACAGTTCACTCAAAACCCGGCCATGAGGAACACGATGAATCAGCTTGCCCAGCAGATCGATGGCCAGGATCTCGGGAGCATGTTTTCGGGTTCAGAAGGTGGGGCCCATGGCGGAGGATTTGACCTGTCGAGGATGATGCAGCAGATGATGCCGATTGTGTCTCAGGCTTTAGGGGGGATTACGGCTGGTAACCAAATGAATCCTTCTCAAGTTTCGAGGAGAGACGTGACACGGACAAATGATGGTCCTCAGGTTTGTTTCTTTAACAAATTTGGAATTTTTTTTGGGAAATATGATGGTGACGTACGTAGAAAACTTGTTTGTGGGTTGCTGACCAAACTACCCTAGAGAGAGTCTAAATTGAAATGCAAACTGCAAATAAAAAAATGCCCCTTGATTTTTTTTGTCATTTTCAAACTATGAATCTTGGAGTTGTGTTTACAGTATTTGATGTGGTATTATCTTGTGGGTACTTTTTGTATATTGATCCTTTATTCAGTTTGTTGGTGGCAACTTGTATGCTATTGCATAATTTGGCCTCCATGGAATTGTACCGCATAATATATTTGCGTCTCACACTGGAAACTTCAGCAACACCTCATGCATTATATATTTATACATGTACCTCTTGAAAATGATACCATAACTTTTGGTCTTCAAATTATCTCCTATAGTAATCACTCTCATTATGTGTTAGTGTGCTTTTATGTTTCTTCTGCTGACCATTTTCTTGATAGTATTTGGAGCAAAAACGCTATGCTCTTTTATTTCAGGACTAAATTGTGTCCTTTGTTTTCGATATCTGAATTCCCTTTTGTACAAAAAATTGAAGTGTATTATTGTTGCTTGATCTCCTTCGGCAGATTAATCTCCGAGAAGTGGTTCAGAGGCTCCAAGAACAGAATTCTTCTGGTGAAATTTTCCGTTCTATGGTTGGTTTGGTGGCACGACTCTGTAGCAATGGTAGCTCAGAGGAAAGTGTTGTGAATGCAATATGCAGTCCTGGTCTTGGACAGGTTAATTTCTTTTTTGTTTTTCTTTACTCTTTT